AAATTTACATATAATATCAAGAGTGCATAAGTGAGAGAGTATGACACGTTTTAACAGCGTTTTGCCCATAGTTTCCCAAACTGGTAAATAATCTATCAATATGTTGAATAATATATTCAAACTTTACATTGTTTTCGTTCTATGATTCTACCCGTTGAACATATGGACACCACCAATTTACCTGAAATCGTATGTTGTTCTTCAAAAATTATTGAAACGGACACGCGCTTTCGTTCTAGTTTTCACGCATGATGCATCTCTCCGACCGACTTTCTTATGGACTAGTGTTCTTGTTGTCTATTGACGGTTACGCTGGGGGCCGTAACGGGAAGTCAGACTGCGCTAGCTAGCTGCCGTGAAGGGCGCATTGTATTTATTTTTTGCACGCTGGAAACGCTGCACGCTGTACAATTCCGATGACTAATATGCCCCATACGACCCAAAGTCGCGTCCATAGCAATTAGACACTAATCCATAGAAGATTCGGTCGGAGAGATTGCTTTCATGCGTGAAAACTGTACGAAACCGTGTGTCGTTTCAAATAACTGTTTTGAGAACACAATACGATTTTCAGGTAAATGGGGTGTCATATGACTAAGGGCGAATCATAGACGGAAAACAAGGTAAACGTTTGAATATTTTCATTCACATTATTGATAGATTATTTACCAGTGAAAACTATGCAAAACGCTGTCAAACCGTGGTCATCTCTTCTCGTATTATGCACTCTTGAGAATATTATTATATATAAATTAATACATACATAATTTAACATATATAAATATTATATGAAATAAATATACATGATTAACATATAATATTTATATAATTTAAATAATACATTATTTACATATAATATTTACTATTAATTATATAATGCATTATTTAGTATAATATATTAATATATATTATAATATATTATATGTTAAATAACTGCATTATATAATATATAATATATTATATTAATTATTATAATATATGTATATAATTTAATATTATTATAATTATATAATTTTAATATATTATATGCTAAATAATGCATTATATCATATATAATTTTTAACGTTCGGCACGCGTGTGTCTGTATGCCTCCGGGTGGGCCCCTTGCCCCCAGCAAAAAAAAACAAGTGAACATCGCGAACATAACAAGCCGTTGAATTGAAAAAATTAATTTCGCAGCCATGTTTCAAGCTTAACTGCAAGCATTAGTGTACCAGCTATATCACAGGCACTTGGACCGTTTTCAATAATAAAATGATGGTTAATAATTAAACTTTCAGTACTACTACTATAGCCTACCGGTACCAGTACACGCAAATAGTCTAATGTTGAGGACTTATAAACTTACTTCAAAGGCACGTCCAATACACCCGCTTGCAACACATGCCCCAGGATCAAGAACCTGGGTCCAAGTATACAAATGCCTAACCTAACCTAATTCCTAACCTAACCCTTAGTCCTAACCCTAACCCTAACCATACACCTAACCTATTATATTGATATAATTTATATTTATATTGATGTAAATGACATTGGTTTTATTGGGACCCATGTTCTCTATCCTTGAACCCAACACATAGCCCGCACGCCATTGTGCATGCACAGATACACAGTAGGTTAGAGTGTAACCGAAACGGGTTCGTAGTGATTTTGGGGGAGAAAATGCCAATGTATGGAAGCTTATGTATGAACTTCATGGGGAGGAAAGCAGACCAGTGGTACATTTTTTCAAATTCAACGGCTTGTTATGTTCCGATGTTCACTTGTTTTTTTTGCTGCGTTTGTCACGTCGTAAGGGGCCCTACCGAGCTTACTTAACGGACCAGTGCCGAACGTCAAAATATTATTAATTATGATATATAATTATATAATTATATATATATTATATATTATATAATATTATATAAATATATATACCTTATTTAACATATATATATTAATTAATTTAAATAATACATTATTTAACATATAATATATATATAATATTATAATTAGTATTATATGTTATAACTGTATTTATAATTATATAATATTTTATCTAAATTATGATGATAATTATATATTATATAATAATATTATATAATAGATATACATTATATTATATAATTATATACATTTTATAATTATATATAATTATATTATATATTTATATATACTATACTATATAATTCTATATCATATATTATATAATATATAATATATCTATATTCGTTAAATAATGTATATTTTATTTATATATATATTATATGTTAAATAAGGGTATTATTTATTTATATAATATATGTATATGTCTAAATAATGTATTATTTAGGCAATATACATTATTTAACAGTATAACTATATTATTTATATATTATAAAGGCATTATTTAGTAAATAATGACTTTATACGCGTATTAATGCTGCTAGAATAATATTTTTACCGTTGGCACCCATATGCGCGTGCCCGTGTGTGCATGCATGCCATGCAGTTTGTTTTGTCGTGTGTGGTGCGCGCTGCGCGTCGTTTGTGTGTGTGTGTGTGTGTGTTGTTTTGGGTGTGCTGGTGTGCGTGTGTTGTGCCCGTTTGTGTGTGTCGTGACGTGGTTCTGCTGTTACACTGCTTTTGTGTGTGGGTGTGTTGTGTGTGTGGTGTGTGTAGGTGTGTGCTGTGTGGATGTGTTTGTGTGCTCTGCTGTGGTGTTTTTGTGTTTTGTGTTGGTGCGTAACCATGGTGTGGTGTTGTGCTGTGTTGTGTGTGTGTGTGGTATGTGTACCCGCGCGCGCGCGTGTGTGTGTGTGCGTGACGCGTGCGTGTGGATGTGCGTGCAATCTGTGTGTAGCAGCATATCTGGTACGCCTAAATGTGCTGTGTGTCTGTGTGTTGGGTGTTGTGTGTGTGTGTGTTGTGAATGTATGTGTAGATGGTGTGTGACATGTATGTTGTGTGGCGTAGCGCGTCGTGTGCCACTGTGTGTGTGTGATGCGTACTTGCATGTTACGCTCGCGCTCATCTGCCGGATTTACTCACCAGATATGCCGTATTCCTATATTAGACGAGGGGTAGGAGGCGTGCGCTAGAGAGAGATGAGGCTGGGGCTGCGTGTTGTTGAACACATAGCTCTTATGTTAAATAATGTATTATTTATTTATATAATATATTATTTATTATATAAAGGCATTATTTAGTAAATAATGACTTTATACGCTATATAATGTGCTAAATAATATTTTTACCATTGGCACCCCATACGCGCACATACGCACGCACGTACA